TGTTCCTATGTGAACACAGGACCAGGGAGACTCCACATCATGTCCAACCACAAGAATGGAAGTTAAACTCCATGTATGTAAGATATGTCAAAATGTCCTCTACTGTCCTATACAACTAATTAAGAACAAATAAAAACCATTGGACACACACTTGTCCCACCTGGCCCTCTGTTTCCAAGGGCCCCTGAAGGGGGCTGGGGGTGAGGCAGGCAATAGCATCCCAGGAGACAGGCTGGGTAGTCTCTCAGTGAGAAGAAACAGAGAAGGTCATGAAAACTGTGGGTCTGAAAGCTGCTGCCCACTTCTGAGAACTGTGTTCCAGGGATAATGGTTCCCAAAAGAGGCAAGAAGGGGACAGGAAAACGGGTGGCTTGTCAGGGTGGCTCCGCAGCTCTCTGCACCTGAGAGGCACCCTGGCATCTCAGCCTGCAGGAGATGCCTTGTGCTGTGGTTTGTGAGCAAAAGCCCGGATTTTAAATGATGTCAACCCACCAGACACGGGTGCCACCAAGAACCAGGTAAGAAATGTGGAATACCAAGGCCAGTTCTACCTCCCCCCAGAGAAGCCACTGAGCACCAAGAAAGGGAAGGTGAGCCCCAGAAAACCAAAGATGGCAGGGCCAGGCCATCGCCAGCTGCCTGAGCTTCCACCTAACTACCTCAGGGCAGGAGCAGCAGGTGCCCTCGGGAGTTCAGGCCACGCCAAGACCCGGAGCGCGGACGGGGGAGGCTGCTCCTCCCGCTCCCCAGACACCGCCAGCCCACAGGCCAGCGTCTGGGGCAGCCATGCCACGGGGCTCCCTGTCCCCCATTTCATCAGAAATAAACTCCTCCCCTGGGGGCCTCCATGCCAAGGGCCCTGCAGTCACTCCACATTCAGCCTCCGACAGAGTCAGCTCTGTTTCCCGTCTCCTCTGGAGGGCAGAGAGCAAACAGGCCACAGGCCCCTGTGCGTGTCCTCCTCTCCGAGGTGGTGTGCATGCACGTGCCAGCAATCTCACCCCAAAAAGCAGATCTACGGCCTCGAGATCAAAACTTCTATTTTTAAACAAATAAACCCAACACGGAAAACCCGGTGGCTGGGCTGAGGCTCTGTCACCACAGAACTAGCGGCAAATAGTGGCTCAGGGGGACACCGAACTCCAAGCCAGGCTGGGGGCACTGCCAAGCTCTCCACTGGCTCAGATCCCCCCAGGCAGAGGAACCGTGCACCCCAGGTCCTAGTAAAAACACACGGCCCGGATCCGCTAGACCTGTCAACCRGATCCAGGGAAGAGCCAGGCTGTGTTTCATCCACTCCATATTGGTCACATTGACCCCTTTTACAGTGAGGCCAGGCTGTTATCCCTCATGGTGACAACAGCAATAATGAGTTCTCGGTTTCGCAGGGCCCGACGTGCTGTGTGTGGACTATGACAGGCTTTCACCTTCTCCCTGCCGGCGCGTGGAAGCTGGGTGGCGCTCCAGCCAGACACCGCAGCAGTTCTAACAAACAGCCGCTGGGTGGGCAGAAGGGACCTGGGGCTCTCCGCTGGGGGGATGCTCTTATCCCACAGCCAGGGATGCCAGGGCAGGGACGGCTGGCCTCTCCTGAGTCTCCCGGCCAGTCAGTCATAGGCTCCCAAAGGCTGGATCAGTGCTTGCCCAAGCCACAGTGGCAAGGCACAGGGGGACGGTGCAGTGGCACTCATGTCCCTGGGACTAGCGACGACAGGCACAAACCCCTCTCCCAATGAGTCACACACTGAAGGCCCCCCCCAAAAGCTACAGGGCCTCCTACCTCGTGGGAACCCAGAGGCTCTGCATCCCCCCCCCACACCCCCTTTACCTGGACCTCTGCTCCCAGCCTCCCAAAGAACGCCCCAGGCACAGGGCAGACCCCTGCCTCGCCTGTCCTCCCCACGTCACTCACAGTGCCAATGAACTGCCCCTCCCGGGGTCCAGAAATTCTCCCTTCTCTCCTCATATGCTACCTGGGCAGGTCCCCAGCAGGTGACCCCAGAGCCGTTTTGGAACAGGATCTCTGGAGAGTAGGACAATCCCAGGCAAACTCGGGGGAAAGAAACACTCCAGCGGCACCAGGAAGCGCCAGATTGAAGAACTATCGATGGCTGGGCTGGAGGGACTCCCTGAGCTCGGAGCCTGGAACCAGGAAGGGCAGCGCCCACCCGGTGGTCCCAGAGGGCTCTGCTGCTCTGGGTGGGAAAACACCCTCAGTTGGGCCTGGCCCTGGTGAGCGAGGACAGACTCCAGGAGTGGCTCACCTCCTCATTCAGAGGCAGATCCAGCAAGACCAGCCTCTCAAGCTCTCCAAAGGCAGGCCCAGGCCACCTCGCAGGGACTCGGCACRGCTCCTCTGTGCTGGCTTGCTCCAYTCTGCCCAGGGGAGCCCCGCASACTGGGGCCAGCCCSTCCAGACGGGGCCATGTAGCSTGATGGCCACCATGCCTTCCAGCACAGCCAGGCCACAGAGCTCCCGGTGGCTCGGGGAGGGAACCCAGCAGAGGAGGGGACCSAAGCAGCAYGGTYCCCTCCYAAGTGGTCACTCAACMCCAAGCACAGTCCACCTAGATCYGCAYAAGACCTGCTTTTCTCTTTCCYTTCTAATGCCCAGACCTTCACACACCGTGACAACAGACAAAACAAAMCAGTATCGTGAACCCCAGGTGACTGCCCCACACCCACAGGTGTCATGGGATCATGCTCATCTCATCGTCCCCTCTACCTCTACCCTTTCACCATTTTCTAATCCAGCTGGATTATTTCAAATCCAAATCACAGGCATCGAATCATTGTCTTTCTTTCTTTTTTCTTGGTACCTGGGATGGAACCCAGGGACACTTAACCACTGAGCCCCATCCCCAGCCCTAGTTTGTATTTTATTTAGAGACAGGGTCTCACTGAGTGGCTGAGGGACTTGCTAAGTGGCTGAGGCTAGCTTTGAACTCGTGATCCTCCTGCCTCAGCCTCCTGAGCCGCTGGGGTGACAGGCCTGCACCGGCGCACAGCACCACACCAGGGTAGAGCCCACTTTCTGCTGCAGGACTCAGACACAGGACAAGGGAGCTGTCCAAGGGGGATCCAGTGCCTGCCAGCGCCCAGAGAGCCAGGTGCTCAGAAATACTCACAGCTTGCTGAGGCTGTCGAGGCCTGTGAAGGCGCCACTGGTGTCCTCTATTGTGCCTGAGATCTCGTTATGGTCCAGGTCCCTGGGGAGAAGACAGAGCGTGAACCTCTCAGTCATAGCCCTCGCCCTACTTTTTTTCTCTAGTTCTACATGTCAACAGAATACGGCATCATTTTTAAAGCCTGGAATATAATGTGTTCCCATTCAGTCCCCAGGATTTCCCCTCCCACTCTCTGCGGGGACAGGAGCACAGCTTCAGACTGAGTTTCTACTTCACAGCTCAAGGCACCCAGGTGTACCCGAGGGGCCCAGTGTCCTGGACGGTCATGAGGAGTGCKGCTCTGAGAAGCAGGCCCCGCTCTGTACAGCCTGCAGCGTGGTCGGGCCCCCACGGCCTTCCAAAGCAGCCGATGCACACCCCAAATAAGCAGCTTTCCCCGGCCAGGCCCAGGGGCGGGAAGCAGCACACAGCGCATGACGGAAAGCCCAGTTTGTTTCCTGCCTGCACAGAGTGGACATCTGGCCCTGGCCTGGCGCATCGGTTGACAAGTTCCCTGAGGTTCCTATCTTCTCTAACTCAACCATTGTCCCCTTTTCTGGACCCGACCAAGAATCTGGAGCAAAGCGCGTAGAAGAAAAAAATCAGGCAGTAAAGAAAGGGACCCTGGCCTTGTGCCCTCATGCTGGCCGGTGAGTCTGGGGCCAGGAGCCCATCTCCTCACGAGGCCTGCAGAGAGCTAGACCCTGAGCCAGGGAGGACATCTGGGTGCTGAGTCAGACTTGTGACCTGCTCGCCAGGGTGGGAGAGAGGGGGCCAACTCTCCAGGCCAGGCTCCCCCAGCAGAGCAAGTCCCAAGGCCGGTGACTCAGCCCGCTTCCCAGCGTCCAAGGGCAGGTCACAGTGCCCAGGCGGGACATCGCACCTGGCGGCCAGGCCCCGTTCTGCACGCGCTCTGCCGTCTCCAACTTTCCACCAGGCCCCTCGCGCCTGCCCTTCCCTCTCCTGAGCCCTTGCACCAGGGCCAGGATCAGAAAGGGATGCTCTTGGCTCCCAGGAGGACCTGGAATGGACGGTGCCAGTGGGAAGGAAGCTCTGACGGAAGGTGAACCACTCGCCGTGATCTTGCTGGAGCAAAGTCGGCTGCTGGAGGGGCTTCTCCTTCCCACAGCTCCTGCCTGTTATCTTCAGACTGGATGAACCCAGGCCTGGGGCGGTGGCTTTGTACAGTGCTTATGTCCCCACTCCTGCTGCCAACCTTTCCCTCTTCCTCCGGCCTGCTAGGTCTCCATGCCTGGCCTCCTTATCCTGGCCTTGCAGGACCTCGGCTTGAATGGCTTGGCCTGGGGCGCTTTGCTCCCCCAGGCAGTGACTCCACAGGAAAGCCAGCTCCGCCAGGTCCAAGTGCAGAGGGACTTCCTGTCCCAGCTGCCTGCAGCAAGCCCCTGTCCACCGGGAAGTCATGCCTAGGACGGGGGCCTCAGAGCCCACCACCACTGTCTGCTGAAAACCACACACCCCCCGTCTGGGGGCTTTCTGCTGATGGTTTGGAAACTGTCTGAGGCCAACAATCGAAAAGTTCTCTAAAAATCCCAGAAAAGCATCCTGCGGTGACTTCTGGCAACTCACCTAATGGGACACTTAAAGGGACATGGCATTATCACCTCCACCTGGCTGAACGACTCCCTAATGAGGACAAGGAAAGACACAGAGTCCCCAACTCCACCTCTTTTGGAAATGAGGCACACCGGACACCAAGCGTAACAAAGGAGTTTTTGAACTAGTTTTCTGCAATGGCTTGGAGAAAAGACATAGAGGGTTTAAAATAACGAAGCCGGGCTCAGTGGTTCACGCCTGTAATCCCAGGGGCTCAGGAGGCTGAGGCAGGAGGATCATGAGTTCAAAGCCAGCCTCAGCAAAAAGTGAGGCCCTCAGCAACTCCGTGAGACCCTGTCTCTAAATAAAATAGAAAATAGGGCTGGGGACGGGGCTCAGTGGTCGAGTGCCCCTGAGTTCCAACACTGGTACCGAAAGAAAGAAAAAAAAAAGATGATTGCAGGGACAGTGTGACAGTGGCTGCCGACCTGGGGACGCTCAACTTCAACAGCAGGACCCAGCGTCCTGACAGGCACAGTGTGCAGCTTGTGCTTGGTGACACCACACTTGAAGGTTGTCATTCCCCTCAGGCGCCATCCCAGGGGAACAAGACACTTGACATCATGTACACACATAGCACATCAGCCTGGGGTCCCATTCCCACCCAAAGCCATTGGGAGCGGAGTTGGGAGAACTCCCAGAGAGACCTTCGGGGGCCGACTCTGCCCTGTGCTGCTCTCCCACCCAGGACCCCGCCGCTCTGTCACCCCCACCGCGAATGSCGTACAAGATGCGCAGGTTCTTGAGTCCCTTGAAGGCGCCCTCGGCGATGTGGCTGATGGAGTTGTGGCTGAGGCGCAGGACGCTCAGGCTGCCCAGCTCGGCCAGGCTCTCCTCGTCCAGCCGCGTGAGGTTGTTGAAGGACAGGTTCCTGGGGAGGGGGAGGGGCACGGGTCATCATCAGCCTCAACAGCCCGTGGGATCTCCGTGGGCAGGGAGCATCTCACGGTGGACGTGCAGCGAGGTCGTCCACCTGGTCTAACACCGGGGATGGCCATGCAGGTCCCGGTGTGGTTAAACTGTAGGGGATGGCACAAGGTCACGCCATACAAAACCGTCCTGCCGGTGTCCAGGCTGGTCCTGGTTCAGACCTTTCTTGGCAGAGGCCCGATACCCTGGACAGGCCCCTTGGGGGTCAGATGCTGCCACTCCACGTGCTGGACAGCAGAGGGCGCCACGCATCCCTGCCTGGGACAGCCACTGCAGGGCCTCGGCCTCCGCCTGGGAGGCTCTGGCCTGAGTGTCACCCACCCTCCCTGGGAGCAGGACGCGACACGCCCCAGATCATCCACTTGGCCTGCATGTGAGACTCCAACCCTCCTCCCAGACACCCGTGCCTTTCTGACACAACCCTGGCGCTGGTCACCTGGCATCTGGGTCACCTCTGGTGGAAAAATGGTTAGTTTAGGCTGGGTCAGGAAGGAGGAAAATAGTATCCGTGAAGATGAATGGGTTTTTAAAGGGGGCAGCGGGCAGCCTTCTTTCCCTGCTGGAGAAATAAGTCATGGTGTCTGTCAGTCGCAGGACCTGGCAGGAGACCAAAATTATATCCTCACCTGCAATTAAGGAATTTGGCTTAGGGGAGGGGCGGGAAAGCAACCTTCAGCTTGGCTCTGAGGTGACATGAGAATAGGGCAAACTTCTAGGACTAGTTAAGGCACACGGCAGCGACCTCTGACCCCCTCTAAAGGGCACAGCACACAGCTGTGCACAGCCAGAAAGGGGAACAGCAAACTCAAAACCCCGCCAAAGCTCCATAACACAGCTGCTCCCAGGAGCCCACACACCCTCTGCCGAGTCGAGTCGCAGGACGGTGGCTCCTCACCCTAGGGACTGGACAGACTCAGGACTGCGGGATTCCATACCTGCCCTGCTTCCCAGGGCTCCCAGCCCAGGACAACAGAGTTCCCTCGTGCGGTCCCCGCCTGAGCAAAGAGCTTGTCGTCCGAGACCACGAGAGGGACGAAGCAGCACCCTGAAGCATCAAGAGGGCGAATCTAACACCCCAAGTCCAAGGGCAGCGAGCGGGAGGGAGACACGGGCTGCTGCGTGGCACACGCCCTGACCACAGACCCACGGAGACCGGAACACCAGGTCAGCAGAGGATGCGCGTGGGCCCGTGACGCGAGGGACACACAACAGGAGGGACCGGGTAAGGACTCGGCTGTGAGCGCAGCATGAAGTTCCGAGACCCCCCGCGAGCGTGCCTGGCACCTGTAACGCTCGCTCACGCGAAGTGACGATTTTTCTAGGCCAAGCCTACGACAAGTGGGAAAGGAGAAAACCTCCCAAACTCTCCTGAAAAATAAGGAAACCCAACTGGACTAACTAGAGCAGGAGGAAGCTGAAAACGTCCTCCTGGCGAGGACCTGTCCCCCCACACAAGCAGAGCTCGGGAACTCGGCCACGTTCTCCACCCTCAGCTCTGCAGCCCACCTGTGCACACAGGGTGGAGAGGGCACCCAGGTTCCCCATCCAGGGGCCACCACTGTGGCTCTCAGCTTGGGCAGCAGTGAGCTCAGGTGTCCTCAGGCCCGGCCTGGGGGTCCCGCCTGGGGATCTTCCAAAGGGATGGGGGGTGGGGGTGGGGGATGGGGGCGCTGTGAGCCTCCATGCACATCCACCTCCTCCACCAGGCACGACAGGGAAAGGGAGGAGCCAGGTCCCTGGGGAAGCTGACCTGGGTGAAAGCGCTGAGGACACACAGATTCTTCCACAATCAGCGGGTCACCATTGCTCTGTCCATGCTCCTAGTGGGCTTCAAACACACTATTTCTCTCTCTCTCTCTCTTTCTCTCTCTGGTACTGGGGCTTGAACCCAGGGGTGCTCTACCACTGAGCCACACTGTCAGCTTCTTTTATTTATTTTATTTTTTTTTTTTTTGAGACAGGTCCCACAGATTTGCTGAGGCTGGCCTCAAACTTGTGAGACTCCTGCCTCGGCCTCCCAGGTCACTGGCATTACAGGGGTGCCACACCATGGCCCAGAGGCCTAAGGTACCATCACTCCCCAAGAAGCTACAGTGAGAAGGGTTCTTCAGGTTGCCCTTCCCAGGCAGAGCCCTTGACTCCAGGAGCTTTTTCCAAATCCAAGAAATCCCAGGGCACAGAGGCTCCCCATGGGGACCGACAGGCTACACCTCTGTTATTGGAAAAATAGGAGGCAGGAAGGGCCTGGAGCTCAAAGCCCTGACAGTCCTGCTTTGGGCCTGGCTGGCCTGGGCATCTGTCTGTCTTCCAGAACAGGGCCACGGGCCGGCCTGCCTCCGAGCTGCCTCTGCCCCCCTTCCTAGTCCACTGCTCTCTGGGCTCTGGAGGATCTGCCTCCACAGACCCAAGCGGAGGACACTTACAGCTCATGCAGCTTCTGACAGAAGTTCCAGCCGTCGCGGTGGAGGCGCGAGATGGAGTTGTGGCCGAGGTGCAACTGGTGCAGGGCCGTGAGGCCGTAGAGGGAGCCGCTGTTCACTTCCACCAGGCTGTTGTGCTCCAGGTGTCTGCAATGACAGCGCACCCGGGGTCAAGGGGTCTGACCTTCACCCGACACCTGGAGTGTGCCTGGTCAGCGCTCCGATCAGACACGGCGGTCACACCGAGGGTGTGAGAGAGCACCTGGGAAGCATGGACCCCCCCTGGAGTGCACACACACGTGGCAGAGAGAAGACGGGCAGATCCCAGTGGAGGGTCTGCAGGCCCAGACACACTCAGAAGATTCGGAAGGGCAGGAGACGTTAGCCATAAGTGAGTCAGAGTGAACCAGGCAGATGAGTGGGCAGAGGGGCTCTCGGCAAGGGCAAAGGCAGGAGAGGAACAGAGAGAGGAGGGGAAAAGGGAGGCAGCCCTGATCCTCATCCAGCTGGCAAGATCCACTAGGCCAGAAGACGTGGCATTGGCTCTGGGGTCCAATGACTCTATGATTTTTTTTTTTTTCTGGTACCGGGGATTGAACCCAGGAGCGCTTAACCACTGAGCCACATCCCCAGCTATTTTTTATATTTTATTTAGAGACAGGGTCTCACTGAGTTGCTTACGGCCTCGCTAAGTGGCTGAGGCTGGCTTTGAACTCGCGATCCTCCTGCCTCAGCCTCCTGAGCCACTGGGATGACAGGTGTGTGCACCATTACTCCCAGCTCGATGACTACAAGATTTAAATTTCAATTTTGCCATTTTGATGGTTTAATGAGTCTGAACACCTGCGAAATAGAAATATATCCAGAAGAATCCACCTCACGGCATTGTACGGGGAGGGAACAGAGAATGTACCTCGGGGCTGTGGGCAGTGTCAGGTCCTGGCTCCCAACAAACTCCTTAAGTATGTACAGTAGGTCCCTGACTTACAGAATTCCAACTTGTGATGTCCCCAGTCTACAACTAGCGCACATTCTGCAGAAACCCCGCTTGGAATTCCACATCTAGATCTTTCCTACCTGGTACAATCCTTTCTCAGTGCTGGGAGTGGCAGAGAGACGGCTCCCCGTCAGCTCTGTGGTCACCAGAGGAAACAACTGACACTCCATCATGTGTTGTCTGCCAAGCTAGGATGCCCTGGGGACTAGATATTAAGTGTATCTTCAATTTATGACATCCTCAGCTCACAGTGGGCTTCTCGGGATGTGACCCCATCGAATGAAGAGCATCCGTGTGCCATTCCCTCACTTCTCAGAATCCTAGCCCATGACAGCTCCGCCCAGACAACTGGTTTCTCTCCTGGGAGTTACCAATGCACATTTTGCTTTTTTTTTTTTGGTACCAGGGATTGAACCCAGGGGTGCTTAACCACTGAGCCACATCCCTAGCCTTTTTTATTTTTGATTTAAAGACAAGGTCTCGCTGAGTTGCTTAGGACCTTGATAAGTTGCTGAGGCTGGCCTCAAACTTACAATCCTCCTGCCTCAGCCTCCTGAGCCACTGGGATCACAGGCCCTCATTTGTATAAATTCGTTCCACATAAAAATGAAATGGTCGAGCCTCCCACTGTTTTCTTCTGAAAATTCTCTTCATCTCAAACTGCCATCAACCTAGAACTTCAGATTCTAAATGACAGCCTTGAGGAAGGAAGAGTGTTCTGGAATATGCACCACAGAGCTCCAGCCCAGCTGAAGTGGCAAAGGAGGAGAAGCCACCGGCATCCTGGTCATGCAAAGCAGAGATGCTTCTGCACAGTGCACTGTGGGGCCTGGGCCTAGGCTTCTGGCTTGGTTTCAGTTATAAAGACAAGTAGTCAAGGAAAGGAGCGGGAAAGATACGGGTGCAGGTGTGCCAACTTGGAAGTCACCACCCAAACCCGAAAACAGGAAAACCAAGAGGAAATGCTGAGACCCAACGGTCTCCTGGGAGAAGAAGGGGGATGGGGAGGGCGGGGAGGGGACAGACGATGGGTGGGCAGCAGCTGCTTTCCTTTACTCTCCAATTCATTCACGCAGAGGCACTACCTCTGATGAAAAATAAACAAATTTAAATGTTGAACGACAGCAGATTGCATTCCTCTTTTTTTTTTTTTTTTGATGTGGCCTTTGTTTCTGGCAGGCCTCGGCTCCACTATTGGACACATCTGGCTGAAGAGCACGTTCCCTTGATAACAGCTGCACATCTGCACCAAGTGCCTAGATGAGCTCACAAGGCAGAAATAAATCTCCTGCGATGAGCTATACATTCTGGGTCCACCTGCACATCAAGGAAGACGGTCAAACCCAAAATGGGGAGGGAAGGAGCTTCCTGTGGAGTTTGGGAGTGAAGAGGATGTAGGGAAGCATCTATTCCACAGTGAGGAAGTGGGGGTGGGAGGAGGCCCAGGAACGGGGCTCCTTCCTGCACCCCCTGACCTGATTCACAGAAACCTCCTCCAAGAGATGTTCCTACTCTGCTACGGAAACACCAACAGATCTGGTTGAGTGTCTGCAGAGACACGGAGTTGGGACCACAGGCAGGCTCAAAGGACAGGGGGCCTGCCAGGTACAATGGTGCAGGCCTGTCATCAAGGCAGCTCGGGAGGCTGAGGCAGGAGGATCGTGAGTTCAAAGCCAGCCTCYGCAAAAGTGAGGTGCTCAGCAACTTATCAGTGAGACCCTGTCTCTAAATACAATACAACATAGGGCTGGGGATGGGGCTCAGTGGTGGAGTGCCCCTGAGTTCAATCCCTGGTACCAAAAGAAAAAAAAGAAAGAAAGAAAAAGGAAAGGTGGCCTGCTGTCCACCTAGGGCCCAGCTGAGTGGACACACACAGGCTGCCCCCCTCCCCACAGAGGCAGGGTGCAGAGGCCACGGCCTCACCCTGGGGCTGGAGCCCCGAGGCCGGCACTTACAGCGCGTGCATATTGGACAGCCCCCAGAAAGCGCCGTCCGTCAGCTTGCTGATGTTGTTCCTCTGGAGCCTCAGCACCTCCAAGCTGTCCAGGCCCTGGAACGTGAGGCCCTCGATCAACCGGATCCGATTCCGATTGAGGTCCCTGAAGGAAAGAAGCCACGGGCTCAGAGCCTCCCTGTGCACACTCCACACACACACACGCACACACACACACGCACACGCACACACACACACACACACACACACACCCCTGCCGAGTTCCCCAGCCAGCGAGCCAGTGGGTATCGAATGGCAGGGACACTTGCAGTCGGGGCACCTGCCGGGATCTCCGTGTATGGGGCAGAGTGGGCAAGCGCAGGGGGGACACCCCATGAAGCACACACATTCAGCTGCTGGCTCCAGCACTAGAGAGCCTCGGGGGACCGGAAGGACTCTGGGTGGCCTGGAGGGGCAGAGAGCGACACACAGAGCTGATCGGAAAGCCCTGGTTCCCCCCAAGTATTCCTGCAGCATCCCGTGACCCAACCTCCCCAGCATCGTGGAGAGCTTCTCCGCCGACAGCCGGGGAGCCACACCCCGCGGAGCCTCAGCAACTGTTCCGTTCAATTTAAACAAAATTTCCACTACCGGCTTGTTTTCCTGACATTTACTCTTCTAACAATAAAAAGTAGAAAATCCATCAATCAAGAGCCAGGTGTGGTGGCACAGGGCTACCATCCCAGTGGCGGGGGAGGATCACGAGTTCAAAGCCAGCCTCAGCAACTCAGCGAGGCCCTAAGCCACTCAGAGAGACCCTGTCTCCAAATAAAATACAAAATAGGGCTGGGGATGGGGCTCAGTGGTCGAGGGACCCTGAGTTCAATCCCCGGTACCAAAAAAAAAAAAAAAAAAGCTAGAGACAATCATAAATCAACCCCCTTGTAAGATTTAGGAGATAGAGATTGCCATTTCCTGCTTCCCGCCTCTAGCCATGCTAACTTCCTGCCAAATTCAAGAAATGTTGAGGATGCCATCAAACCCAAGGTACATATTTTACGGGTACCTTTAATAACAACACTAAAACCTCTGAGATCAATAAACGTAAAGCACGCAGCCCAAGCACTAGCCACGCCAGCTAACCAGCAGGATTCCTCATGTCATCGAGGAGGACACCAGCCTGGACCCGCACGTCCATACTCAGTGGACCTCATCCCTGCAAGATGAGGTGGCCCACCGGCCCCAGATCCAGCTCCAATCTGGTTTTACTAGGTGTTGCCATAGGGGCATTAATTACGGTTCATGCAGAATGTTACTGGGGGGAATAGGAGTTGCATTTGGTGCTAGGTCCTTGGGGAAGTTTGGCCCCCATAAAATTGGGCTATAACCTTAATTAAAGTGCCGGTTTCTGAACTCACAGTTGTGTCAGCCTGGGTAACTTGAATGCTTTTACAGGAAGCTGAGTGATCCTGTTTTTGCTCAGGCGAAGAGTCAGCAGCGACCGTGACAGGCCATCGAATGCTCCCAACTCCAGGGTGCCAATGTGATTGCTGGCCAGGAGAGTCAGGAGAGAAAATGTCACAGCTGTAGGAGGCCTTCCTGGTGCTGTCACAGACACCAGACCAGCTGGATCTGAGCTGGGAAAACACGCTAAGATACACTCAGAGGGACAGGCTTCCCGAGGAGACGTCTGTCATCACCAGGCTTCAGAGCCTGCCCTGACTCCCGGATGGGGAAGCACTGCAGGTGGCAAGACTGTCCAAGGTCAACCTCCACTCAGCCCAGTGCACACAGCACCCATGGCTAGCGGGCCCAAGAGGGCGGGAGGGACCGTCAGACACCTCCACCCCCAGCCCTCCTGCAAACCTGCCCACCTCGGGCCACAACTGGCCCACCACCCTAGGCCGACGAGAAAAGCCCGACACAAAGTGCAAACCAGAGGCTAGGTCAGATTCCATTCCACGATTTGGGGAATCAGTCTTTAATCCTGAAGTGGGGTCTCATTTTTGGACTTACATAATAAGTGGGTACAAGCCAATTCCTTTAAATGATTTTAAATACCTGAAAGAAACCCTCTAGTTAAAGAGACCTGAGCCAAATTCTTTAAAAAGCAAGCCATACCACGCCTGTGATCCCAGCAGCTCAGGAGGCTGAGGCAGGAGGATCGCAAGTTCAAAGCCAGCCTCAGCAACTTAGGCCCTAAGCAACTCAGCGAGACCCTGTCTCTAAATAAAATACAAAATAGGGCTGGGGATGGGGCTCAGTGGTTAAGTGCCCCTGGTTCAATCCCTGGTACCCCAGACCCTGCCAAAAAAAGACAAGCAATACTTTTTCAGGGCCATCTCCTTTGACCGTACCGAGCGGACGGACTGCAGTGCACAACACAGATACGTGTGTCACACTGTGTGCAAAGCATAGCAAGCAGTGGAAAAGAAAAGGGAAAAAATTAAGGGAATAAAATAAATCAGTATTCCTATGAGAAGTTACCCCTCAACACCCTTCTTACTGCTTTTCCTAGACAAAAATTTGGTGTTTTTTTTAAAAAACAAAACAACAAAAAACAAACAAACAAAAAAACAGCGCCTAAGTAAAAAGAGAACCTTCTGCCCTGGGGGGAGGAACCAGGCTCCTCTGGATTCTTTACCAGGCAGAGCCCCAGCACAGGGCACATGAGGATTCTCTACAGCGGGGCGGACTGTTTGTTCTCGACACTCCAGATTAGAGAAGAGCAGCCTCTGGGATGAAGACAGAGCAAGCCACAAGCTGCCAAAAGAGGAAGTCCCTCCTGCTTTCTTGCAGCGACAGAAGGTCAGTGCAATTCCATTTAGCAGTTGGTGGTTTCTTGGTTCTGAGCAAGGGAGTGTCGGGCGGCAGCGGGACACCTCGGGACAGCCTCCACTGGAGGCTTAACAAAGGCCAAGGCCTCCTGTTCCTTGACGCAGCCTGAGAATGACTTGGAAGATCCAGGGGCCAAGGTTCATCTTCCCTGAAGAGATGGGTCATGACCACCTCTCAACCGGCCTCGAAAATGAGCTCCAAAATCACTCCAAAACAGTGATGGCTCAGGGAACGGAGACTCACTCAGAACTGGGAAATGTCGCTTTGGCCTAGGTTTTCAGATTCTTCCCCAGAGCGACCCTCTCCTACCCACAGGCCGTGGGTGCTGCAGGTTTTATCATTTTCACTCCTGTCTACCATCCACACCGCAGTTAGATGGGGCACGAACATGGGTAAGACACCCATCGGCACAGTCCCGAGAACCCACAGAACCAGGAGCCGCCTTCCCAGACAGATCCCATGAGCTGTGTGATCACTGTGGGACGCTAGGGAGAAAGAGCCTGGAGAGTCTGCAAAGTGCTCTCTCTGAAGTGTGGGCCTCTAAGCTTCCCTGAGCCTTCTCTCCAAGCTCTGCTGGGAAGCAGCCCAGTAAATGGGAGTAAAAGCAGGCTTTGTGGTCAGGGCAGACCTCAGAGTCTTGAACTCTTCTGTCTGAGGGGGTGAGCTCCCTGGACAGGCGGATCCACCTCTCCCTGACTCAGGTGTCCACCTTGGGTGTAACTAGAAATGTTCCATCAGTGGGCATCAGAGGGGCTCCTATCCCTGCCTTGCACCATCCTCAGGGCTGAGGTTTGGATGTGAGGTGTCCCCCAGAAGCTCACGTGTGAGACGGTGCAGGAAGGTCCAGAGGAGACATCACTGGGTTGTGAGAGCCTTAACCCAACCAGTGAATGGACCCCTGAAGGGATTAACTGGGTGGTGGCTGGAGGCAGGTGGGGGTGGCTGGAGGAGGGGGCATTGGGGGCGTGGCTCTGGGGTCTCTATTTGTCTCTGGAGAGTGGAGTCTCTCTCTGCTTCCTGATCACCATGTGAGCTGCTTCCCTCCACCACACTCTTCCTCCATGATGTCCTGCCTCCCCTCGAGCCCCGAAGAGTGGAGCCTGCTGTCTGTGGATGGAGACCTCTGAAACTGTGAGCCCCCCATTAAACTTCTCCTCCTCTACAATTTTCTGGTAGGGTCTTTTTAGTCACACAGTAGTGAAAGAGCTGACCAAAGCAGAAGTGAAATATGCAGACTGTGTACAGACCTGGGCAACGGAGAGGCCTCCAGTTGCCCTATAACCAGAGGGACAGCCCGAGCCCAGAAGCACTTACAGCTCTCGTATGTACAGTCCAGGGGGAAAGCAGGCGCTCCGGATCTCCGTGATATTATTCGAACTCAGATCCAACACTTCCAAGGAAAGGTAGGCCTTTAGCTGGCTCCCGTTCACGCTGCGGATCCTGTTGTGCTGCCTGAAACACACAAGTGGAGGTGACTCAGGCATTTCTTTTTGCAGAGTAACTACAAGAGCCAGGCGGAGTGGTGGATGCCTGTAATTCCAGGGGCTCAGGAGGCTGAGGCAGGAGGATCAGGAGTTCAAAGCCAGCCTCAGCAACTTAGGGAGGCCCTAAGCAACTCAATGAGACCCTGTCTCTAAATAAAATACAAAAAAGTATAAAGATTCTCTTTCCTATTTTACTAGTTGTTTGCTCTTTCATAACATGACCCTCTAGTGACACTCGAAATGAGCTTTCCTATTGTTCTTCTCATCCATGATCAGCTCCTGGCTTCAGAGAGTATGCTRGATTTTCTCATATGGGACAAGCTGTTTGCAAAAGTATGGGGCAAGAACACAGGGGTGATCTCTAAGTACACAATCATGGCATGACCTGCATCTACCTATATACCCACCATAAAGGATGTACCAGTGCAACTGGGCAGCTCCAAACCAACACCCTTCTGCAATCTTCAGGACCCAGTCCACTGCCACGATTCATAAGGCTTGTAGGCACGAGCCCAGGTTTAGTCATATGGCTGTGTGCAGTATTGGGGATTAAACCCAGGGCCTCATGGATGCTAGGAAAGTGCTCCACCACAGAGCCACATCCTCAGCCCTCTCTGGGTCAGTTTAATCCAACTTCACAAATCACTACGCACCTTCACAAATCACTACTGACACCTCCCATGTGCCAGGCATGGAGACATACAGGAGATTAAACACACACACACRCATACACACACACACACACACACACACACACACTGATAAAATCCTGGTAATCCCAATACATTGCTGGTGGGATTGATGCAACCACTCTGGAAAGCAGTATGGAGATTCCTCAGAAAACTAGCAATGGATCCACCATTTGACCCAGTTATCCCACTCCTCAGCATAACACCCAAAGGACTTAAAATCAGCATACTACAGTGACACAGTCACATTAATGTTTATAGCAGCTCGATTCACAAAAGCCCAGCTATGGAACYAACCTAGATGCCCTTCAAGAGATGAATGGATAAAGATAATGTGTTATATATACACCATGGAATATTACTCAGCCTTAAAGAAGAATGAAATGATGGCATTTGCTGKTAAATGGGTGGAACTGGAGACTATCATCCTAAGTGAATAAAACATGCCAATTCCAAAAAACCAAAGGCTGAATGTCCTTTCTGATATGCAGATGCTAATTCAAAATGGGGGATAGGTAGAGAAGAATCGAGGTACACTGGATTAGGCAGAGGGGAGCAAAGGGAAGGGAGGGTGTTTGGGGGCTAGGAAGGATAGTACAAGGAATGGGACATTATCACCCTGTGTGCACACATAATTATATGACTGGTGTAATTCCGCATCACAACCAGGAAAAGTTATACTCMATTTATGTTGGATATTTCAAAATGCACTCTACTGTCATGTATAACTAATTAGAATRAATTTAAAAAAATAAAATCCTGGCGCTCTGCAAAGGGAGAGAGGAGCTCACTGCTGGGTATCACTGGAATCAAATCCCCTGCAGCTCTAATGGCGCTGCTCCTCAGTTTCCTCATCTAAATGATGGAGCCGCACGCAGCCTGTCGTTTCTGGAAGACGGGCAACCCGACTTAAAACCATGCTGAAGGGATCGCGGACATTAAGGAAAGTGCTCCGAGGGTGTCCTGCCCGCCTAGGAAGGCACCGTCCACTGTGACTTATTTGCATCTCTAGCCCTCGAGGCCTCTGGCAAACCCCAAATCTAACCAAGGGACCAGCAGTCATCAATCAGGACAAAGGTGACTAACGCCAAGCGAGGCGGGGCCATGGGCCTGTTGTGAACATGGCTCTCCCTCGCAGATTCAAACTGGGACAGGAGATGCGTGGGAATCTGCTCGGTTGCCAGGCGCAGTGGCGCACGCCTGTCATCCCAGCGGCTCAGGAGGCTGAGGCAGGAGGATCGTAGGGTCAAAGCCAGCCTCAGCAACTTAGTGAGGCCCTGAGCAACTCAGTGAGACCCTGTCTCTAAATAAAATGCAAAACAGGGCTGGGGAGGGGGCTCAGGGGTCGAGTGCCCCCAAGTTCAATCTCTGGTACCCACCCTCCCCCCACCTTAAAAAAGAACCTGCAGGGTGGCAGTGCTGTCCCGAGGGTTCCAGGCACACACTCCTGCCAGGCTGAGAAAAGAGGGGCAGCTGTCCAGCCGATCGGAGCCAGGAAGCCAGCCGTCGCTTACCCAGTGGCACCTCCTTTAAACCAACCCCTGAACGTTGGTTCCAACGAGGCAGCAACGAGGACCTCTTTCCCAGAAGTTGGGGGCCTCCTTCAGCTCCTTTTGTTGTTGGTTTTTCTTTTCACAAGTCTCCCAGGCCCTGAATTCAAACCTCGATTTACAAGGGCCCAACTCTGCTGACAGGGGGAGCCTCCTTCCAATGCAAGGACCTTCCCTCCAGCCCCCTCCTCACCCCCCACCAGCCACTTCCTTTGAGCTCTGTCTTCAGCTCTTTAGTAAACATCGGCTCTAAAACCTTTATTATGCAAAGCATGGGGAGAAAAAAGACCAAGAAATAAAGGAGTCAGTGCTGTGCCTCATCCGGGAACTCTGGATACTGTGCCAGGGAGCCGGGAAAGAGGGGGTCTGGAAACAGAAGGGACGTCCTGGGGCCCAAAGCTGGACAAAGGGCTCGGTCCACTGGGGGGGGAGCCCTGGGGGCAGCTGACCCCTCTCTCCACTCCCCCACACCCCCTCCTCTAACTTGGTCTTTGTCTTGGGCCTCCTCCTTCTTTCTTGTCAGTCTGTCTCTTCACATTCTCCCCCCCAACCCTGTCCCCCCRCAAAAGGACCCTGTGAGGACCACGAGTCTCTGGCACCCTGGGAAAGTTCCCACTGGGCAGAAGAGGCAGCCATGGAGATGGACCACGGCGGCCGGGAGGGAGGGAACGCACTTCATTCTGCCCGGGAGAAGTTGCCAGGGCTAGTGCCCGAGCCAGGACGCTGGGGCTGGGAGGCCAGGAGCTTGGCACAGGGGACAGAGCTGGCAGGGCCACCCCGGGGAACGGCTCCCCCGGGGCCAGGCCAAGGAGCTGGGAATCCGGCTCCCTGCAGGCCAGGTGGGCAGGGTGGCGATTCAGAGGCAGCACAAGAGAATGGTCAGGGGGGGTCCCTCCCGGGAGCTGGAGACGACATCATCAAATGGTAAGGGGGCCCCTGGGCAGGCTACGGGGCACACCTTCCATCCCCACCCAGCAGCAGCCACAGAGGTCAGTTCAGGGGGCCCTGGCAAGGGGCTCCTACCCGGAATACAGTCAGCACCCCCACCCACCCCGACCCCACATTCCCACAGCTTCCACATCTGCACGTTCCACTAACTGGAGTGGAAAATGCAAAAGAAACTGTGTCTGGAGTGAAGGTGTATGGACTTTTTCCCTGTCCCTGTCTCTAAATGGCACAGCACAGTTATCTACACAGCATTGATTTACACTGCATGAGATAATGTAAAAATTTAGAGATGATTTAAAGCATTGATTATATGACACTATTGCATTACTTTGTACAAGGGAYTTGAGGCTCCATGGATTGGGTATTTTTTGGGGGTGGGGACCTGCATGACTGTATATATAGAATCTCTAGAAGTGACAGCAATGGAGAACAAATGTCCTGATCAAAACATGGGCAAAGGGGGCCCAGGGCTGGGGCTCAGTGGCACAGCTCTTGCCTAGTATGTGTGAGGCACTGGGTTCGATCCTCAGCACCACATAAAAATAGATAGTTTTTTTTTTTTAAATCGGCAAAGGACTTTATAGACATTTCTCCAAAGAGGACCAAGTAGCCAACAAACCCATGCAACCATGTTTGAAGTCAGCCTTCACAAGTGAAATGCAAAACAAAACCCTGATTAAATATCCGCTCACACCCATCAGTGTGGCCCCTATCAAATTAAAAAAGAAAAAACAAAAAAGTACAGCATGGGTGAGGATTTGGAGCAGCCAAAACTTTGTGGGAATGTGAAATGATGGAAAGCTGAAGAAAATAGTATGCTGACTCCTCAAAACATTAAACGCAAAGCCGGGAGTGGTGACACACAACTGTCACCCCAGGGGCTCAGGAGGCTGAGGCAGGAGGATCATGAGTTSAAAGCCAGCCTCAGCAACTTAGTGAGGCCCTAAGCAACTCAGGGAGACCCTGTCTCTAAATAAAATGCAAAATAGGGCTGGGGATGGGGCTCAGTGGTTAAGTRSCCCTGGRTTCAATCCCTGGTACCGAAAGAAAAAAACAAACGTTAAACACAGAACCACCCGATGACTCAGTAATTCCACTCCTGAGCCCAGAAGACAACAGATCTCAAGAAGACATCTGTAAATCTGTCTTCACAAGGAGCACCGTTCACAATACTCCAAAGGCAAAACAACCCAGTGTCCACCAGCAGAAGAAGGGGTGAATAAAATGTGGTCCATACACACACTAGAATACTACTCAGCCTTAAAAATGAGGGAAACTCACACTCATGCTACTCAAACGTATGACCACTGAGGACACGACACCAAGTAAAATAAGCCAGGCACAAAAATACAAAAATTGAGCTGGGCGTGGTGGCGCACACCTGTCATCCCAGTGGCTCAGGAGGCTGAGGCAGAGGGTGGCAAGTTCAGGGCCAGCCTCAGCAACTTAGTGAGAACTTAAGTATCTTATGGAGACCGTGTCTCAAAATTTAAAAAAAAAAGAGGGCAGGGGATGTGGCTCAGGGGTTAAGCACCCCAGGGTTCAATCCCYGGCACCAAAAGAAAAAATAAATACTACTACTATTTGCTCCCACTTATGAGTGGCATCTAGAGTAGTAAAATTCATCAAAACAAAAAGTAAAAAGAYAGTTGCCAGGGACTCAGGAAAGTCGTCTTGTTTGATGGACAGGGAGTTTACTTTTGCAAGATGGGAAAAAGTTTTTGAGATGGGTTGCACRCATGAGTGCACTTAACACTACTGAACCCCACACTTAAATTTTA